CTGCTGAAGGGGGGACGGGCTATATGACCTCTGGGTGACCTCTGCACAAAACTTTACAGCTTTGAAATTGCTCTCAAATCAGAAAGCCTCCTTGCAGCCAGGCAGATGAAGGGGGAAGGCTGCGCAGAGAGGGGAAGAGGAAAAGAGAGGCCAGGGAGAACGAGACGAGAGTGACCTTCTCTTCTGTTTGCTGTGCCCTAGCCAGCTGGGACTGTGCTGCCCCCGTCCTGCAGCGCCGTCACACAAGCTGGGTCCACACTGCACACACAGAGAATGGGCTGGCCTCAGCTGCCCTCACCCCTCTGCCCATCTCCAGAAGCGTCTGACCTTGGGATCCATGGCACAGGCAGCTGGCAGCTCAACTGGCTTCTGGCTTGCAGGTGTCCAAGGCAGCAGCCTGGAAGAGGACAACAGACACACAGGGTGGGCACTGGTCCCTGCAGGGACATCACTCTGTGGGACTCTCAGGAAGAAATCCAGGACACCGTGCTGGGCCCTAGCTCCAAAGTGCTCCAGCCCCACAGTGGCCCCTCTCGCTGTGGGACACCAGCAGCAGCCCAGTGAGTGGGCTCTGCAGCTCCCCTCAGTAGAGACTTGCCAAGGCACCGAGAGCACCCTCCAACTTCAAGGTCCACTCTCCCACCCGAACTCATGATCCTAAGACCTCACCCCCCCAGGCAAGGAGGGCAGACTGGTTCACGAATACTTTTTAAGCTTATATTAGTAAGTTTCTGACAAGAATGAACTTAGCTAGTAAAGTGTACATAGAGGTTTTCAGGAAATCTGTTTTATTATTACTGTGATCAGTAACTGGGCCACTAACACAACTACTCTGTCCAACAACAACCCATCCCCTCAGTGCACGGCAGTTATCAGAACTTCACATGATCATCTCCTTGTTCTGCCCACCATGCTGGCAAGTAGGCAGAGCGGTGTTGAAGCTGACTTAGTGGATGAGAAGATAAAGTTTAGGGAGTAAGGAACAGCCAGGAGATTCGTTCTCTCCACAGGCCCCCAATGGGCAGATAAAACAAATTGTTCATATGGAAAAAACTCTTGTAAAATGTTTATAACGAAAGAGAAATAATATATATGACGATTATACAAAAGATTAAAGCTTCTATATGGCACATATTTCCAACTAAATAACCCATCACAAACAACTGACCGGAAAAAAGGCAATTGGGGATTGAGTTAAAAAGATTAGGTCCATAAAATGGAATATATGCAATCAAAAAAAAGAACAAGAAATCTGTATGTGCCTCTGTGTATGTGCATCTGAGAGATGTTCAAATAGACTGAACAAAAGTTTTTGCAGAACAGCTTCAAAAGAATACTATCTTAAAATGTATTTGCTGGTATATGTGTGTGATTACACACAATATTAGGTCATTGTGTAGGGCATAAACAGTCAAATTTGGCAATTCCATATGGCTCCTAAATACATAGGAGGTAAAACACAAACAGCAGAACAGACAACCAGCTCGACTCCAGGAAGAGCGAGCGGGGCTCCCACCACATGTAGTGGAGGACGGAACAAGGCCTGCGCTGATGGAGGCGTGTCTTGTGTGCAGCCAGCTGCGCAACTGTGCGCTTGGGACAGTCACGGTCTCGGCACTGCCATTTCCCTGTCTGGGTGCTCACACGGCTTGGCAGTTGCCCACAGCTACAGGCTGCACCTCAACCCTCCTGGAGCCTGGCCGAGTCTGCCCATTGCTGGGTGTGTCTGGGAGGAAGTCTGCCCATTGCTGGGTGTGTCCGGGGGCATGTGGACAGACAGGGAAGCAACAGGACACTGGCTCACCCATGCGCCCTCCGCAAGGCAAGAGGAAAGGCCAGAGCCATTAGCAGCATTAGGACAAAGAGCAAAACAGAACACATCCCTCAGGAAAAAGGCTACAGAAGCCAAACTGTGTCTACCGAGTCACTGCCAAGGTAAAGAGACAGTGGGCAGAACTTGGGCCTCAGTCCCCACCATGTTCTCTCAAGAAATAACTTCAGAAACCTATGAGGGGAGAGACAGCACTCAAGAAATAATTCATACAAACATCGGATTTGATTTCCTTCCAGACTTTGATATACACACTCGCATCCTCAGGCAGACTTTCGGTGTTCTGCATTCACCAAATTGTGATCATTTTTCTGCTTCAATTGATATTTTTCAAAAAAATTTTTAATGCTTATATAATATTCTCTTGTGATGGTTTGTTCTAAACCAGGGGCGATTTTGACCTGCAAAGAACATCTGCAAGTATCTGGAGACATTTTTGGCTGTCACAACTTGGGAAAGTGCTACTGGCATCCAGTGGGTGGCAGCCGGGGAGGCTGCTCCATGTCCCCCAATGCCCAGGACAGCTCCCAACAACAAAGAATTATACAGCCCAAGTGTCAATAGTGCTGAGGTTGAAAACCCTGTTCTAACTGTACGTATGCACCAAAATACAATAAACCTCCTATTATGGAACATTTATCCTTTCAATGTTTTCCACCACGAAATATAGGACTGTGGTGAACGCCCTGCTGTGGCGCTGTCCTATTAAATCCAGAATCGAATGAGATAATAGATGCGAAAGTCAACCTGGAGCGCCAGCCTGTATTCCTACCACTTCTGGCTTTATTCCTCTGTTACTTAAGAAGAAACTCAACAAGTCACTGTCGGCTGTGGGTGGTACCAGGACAACAGGTAAAGTCACCCCCTGAAAACCTCAGAGGCTCCGAGTCAGCCATGGCTTCACCCCCAAACTCCAATTCCTAACCAAAGCTGCCAGCAAGGAGAACTCATACAGCCAAGAACTGATCACCCCTTAGTTCCAGATCCAGTGGGAAATGGCCAGGTGGGCAGAACTGGGAAACAGAGACCCCCCCTTCTTCTCTGGTCATCAGGTTCGTTCACAGCCAAGATTCCACCAGCTCCAGGAAACATGCCTGTGATGACACAGCCTGAGACTGAGGCTTTTTATGGGTTATTTCTCCAAGCTCCTACCACACCCTTTTTTCCCCCTAGTCGAGCGTTCTAGGTTACAGAGATAACAAATGTTATTACTCATAATCACCATCAGCTATTGACAATATCCATGCCAGGCTTGCCTTTGCTGGCCAGGCTCTCCAATCCCCACAAGGTTCCTGGAAGAAAAGCACTTATGCCCCAGTTTTTAGAGTCCAGGCTGAGACCCGAGAGTGCGCAGTGAGGGTATGGAACGCCCGGCAGCAGCACAGTGCCCACCTCTGGGCCTGCCTGCCAGAAATCAAGTGAGCAGACAGTGGGGAGCTCACCTGTCTACTCAGACTCCAATCTCCTTCTGAGCCTCACCTACACACTGGACACCAAACGCCCCCGAGTTAGCTGAAAAGTTCACAAAAGCCCAGCTCAGCACTATCCCACATGGTCAGTGTGGAGGCTCAGGCCACAGTGAGGCAGGAGCAAGCACATATAGGCACCTTGGGAGGAGGAAGGTTTTATGAGGATAAACCCTTGGCAGGGCAGCCTCCCTTTGCCAACACAGATTTGCCTGTGTCTTCCCCACCCCACCCACCTAACTACGCACCATGCAGACCTCACAGTCACTCAGCATTGTACGGGAGAGCACAGTACACTGAAGCCGGAGACCCCACCCATCCCTGTCCCACTTAACCAGCTATGTCACTTTGAGTGTGGCACTTATCAATTGACAAGCATTTTGAACTTGTTCAGCTGTGCTTGGAGCTGGAGAAACAATGGTAAAAATGACTCACAGGTCCCTGCCCCAAAGAAGCTTATTTACAAAAAATAGTAATAATACAACTATAAATATTATTTTTAAAAGTTTGCGCTGCTTTAAATACCCAGTCATTAATGTAGCCATCAAATATTTATAGTGCCTATTGTGTGCCAGGAAAAGCTATATATAATATATCTATTTTTATAGGTATATCTACATGTCTATAAAGACACAGGTGTTTTTATATAGAGATAAAAAATAAAGATATGGAGCATGGAAGCTGATCCAGACTGGGGACCCGGAAGAGTAAGTGCCACCTGGAAGAGTGGGACAGGGAAGACAGTTCTAGTTCACCTTCCTGGGCCT